CTTTTCGGACCCAACTCAATAAACACATAGATAGAAATAGTGCCGATAATTTCTTCACTGGTACTATCACAGGGAAAACAAAATAATATCAAAGAATTACACAAAACAATTTAAAAGACAGTGAGCTATTTAAAGAAACCGATTTCTAAGCAGCTTCGTGCAGTAACTCCCAAAGTCGGTGTGCTTGAAGGTGCGCTGTGATTATCGCTGCTCCGGAGAGGAAGAGCTGCCCAAAAGCGGGGCACTGAGGTGAACACCTCTGTATTTATTTACAGTGCAAACTCAGCAATGCGGCAGCAATTACTGCTGAGTGTCGCCTCCTGATAAGAGGCACTGATAGGAAACGGCATTATCTTGCGAGCAAACTTTAGGCCTTAAATATCTGCAATCGAATCGCCTTCTCCCCAGATCTGACTGACAGGGCACAGCCTTTCAACTTAATGAATTTACGGCAGTTTGGTGGCTGTTTGCAAAGGGGGAGGCAATCCTCAATGCCCGTAGGTTCTTAATTGCAAATTGAGCAGAAGGTGACATTCCTGCCCGGACAGAATGTCAGTCTGCGACCCCTTCGTCTACGGTGGCCGTGGAAATATATTTTTTTCAGGTTTAAAGAATAAAGAGGAAGGGGAGAGACGGAAAGAAAAAAAAAAAAATCCTTAAAAACCACATAGGAAAAATTCTCCCCTCCAACTTTTCCTAAACGGATCCGCAGCGGAGCAGTGGGGCCGTCCCAGCGGAGTGGAAAGGTCCCCAAAGGACAGGAGCGGGGCAGAGCCACGGCAGTGCGACCCAGCGCTTCGTTCTCTTCGGAGATCAAGCGCTGCTCTACAGGAGCGGCCCCTCTGCCAACTGCGCAAAGCAGCGATTTCTGTGCCCACGGCACACTTAAGAAAACGCACATTAGAGACTATCAGCCATCTAAGATCCACCGCGGGGTTTAGAAACACACGCGGTGCGTTTCTAGAAATAAATACGCGAGCCTTCTTTAAACAGAGATCCACATTCAAATCCCGCTTACAAACATCGGGGTAACGCGTAGGGGCCGCCCCATGTGCGTGCACCGACAGCAGCGCAGGGACCGGGCCGGGGCCGCACCGCCGTTCTCGGCCATTTATTGAGGAGAAAACGCTTCTGTTTGCTCGCCAGCCCCGAGCTACCCCGGGAGGAATTTGTTTCCAGTGAATGGGACGATCCGAGAGAGGGGAACACAGCGCGGAAGGGACAGAAATAGGATTTTTGGACCTGGGGTGCCCGGGATTTGCGCGGAGGGGACGCGCAGTGCCGTCGCCCCGCGGGAGCCACGGAACCCTTTTCTTCCCCTCTCAAAGCAAAGCGTGAAAGTATGCAGACGTGGGCAGGGTCATTCCAACTGAACGGTAATTTATTAATAAACAAACAACGCGATACCTTCGGGATATTTTCAACGAAAAAAAAAAAAAAAAACAGGAAAAAATATTGATAGAATAAGATTAATACAGTTTCCCTTTTTTTATATATATAGAGTGAAAAAAAAATATCAGCGTTTCAGTCCGTGTTAACGACACTTCTCGGGGAAGGGGAAACACTTTGTGGCGTTTGGTCCGCACCATCCAACTACAAATTAAAAATAAATTACTATGTGGCAATTTACACTTTCAAACAAGTCCTTGTCCGGGGGGGAGGGCGGGTGGGGGTGCAGAAGCGGGGCGCGGCGATACCTCACGGGACGGGACGCGGGGGGAGAGCACTGCTGGGAAGCGATCAACCAAAAAAAAGCGACACTTACGTGGGAGCGGGCACCGCCGTCCTCTCACCGCCCCGCACGCGGGCGGCGGGCGGCGGGCCGCGCTCAGAACTTGCCGCAGTCGTAGACGAAGGCCCCGGAGGCGCGGTACAGCGGCTGGCTGCCGGGGAACGCCATCTGACAGCTGCCACCGCCCCCCGCTCCTCCGCCGCTCCCCGCGTTGCCGCCGCCTCCTCCGCCTCCGGGCGAGGCGCTGAGCCCCATCCGCGGCGCTTCGAAGACGTCCCGCGGACCGGCGGCGAAGCTCTGCTGCGGCCCCGCGTAGCCCAGCTCCCCCGCCGCCGCCGCCGCCGCCGCCGCCGCCGCAGCAGCCTGGTTGAGGTACCAGGAAGCCAAGCGGCCCTGGTGCGGGTGCGGGTGCGGGTGGTGCCCCTCCTGGTGGCCGCCCCCTGCCCCGCCGCCGCCGCCGCCGCCGCCACCGGGGCCGCCGCCGCTCCCCGCGCCGCCGTTGGCCGCTCCGCCGCCGCCCCCTCCGGGCATGGCGTAGTCGGGCAGCGGCTCCTCGGCGGGGCTGGCTGCGGGCAGGTGGCCGCCGGGCCGCTCGTTGCCCCCCGCCGCCGCGTACAGGCTCATGGCCTGCATGTTGCAGTGGTAGGAGCCGGCGGCGGCGGCAGCGGGCTGGCCGCAAGGCGAGCCGTATACCGCGGAGCTGTGGCCCGGAGAGTAGGCGCCGAGCGAGAGGGCGGGCGGCAGCGAGCTGCGCGGGGCGGCGGCGGCGGGGGGCAGCAGGCCGGCGCCCAGCTCGGCCGCCTGCGGGGAGCCCCGCAGCGAGGTCATGATGTTGTCCACGCTGAAGCCCGGCCCGTGATGGTGCGGAGGGGGGGGAGGAGGAGGAGGTGGAGGAGGTGGAGGAGGCGGCTCGGGGCCCTCCATGCCGAGGGAGCGGGCGGCGGGGAGCGCTCCGCCGCGGGGGCTGCCGCCGCTCGAGAGGCTGCTGCTGCTGTCGGGGCTCTCGATCTTGGGCACGGCGCCCAGCGGCGGCGCGGCGCCCGGCGGGGACACGGCCTGCGGCGGGGAGGCCGTGCCGTTCTCCGTCTTGATGTCCTGGATGCGCACCGGCGGCGGAGCGGCCCCGGCCGCGGGAGGGCCCCCGCCCTCGGGCTCGGCGCTGGTGGCGGCGGTGGGCGGCGGGCGCGGCGGCGGCGGGGCATGGTCCTTGAGGTGCAGGCGGTCCTTCTCCTCCTTGTCCTTGACGGCGTCCTTCTTCTTGAAGCGGCGGCGGCGGCGCAGGAAGCTGCCGTTCTCGAACATGTTGTAGGAATCGGGGTCCAGCGTCCAGTAGCTGCCCTTGCCGGGCTTCTTGTCGTCGCGGGGCACTTTGACGAAGCACTCGTTGAGGGACAGGTTGTGGCGGATGGAGTTTTGCCAGCCCTGCTTGTTGTCCCGGTAGAAAGGGAAGCGCTCCATGATGAACTGGTAGATCCCGTTGAGGGTGATCTTCTTATCGGGCGCGTTCTGGATGGCCATGGTGATGAGCGCGATGTAGCTGTAGGGCGGCTTCACCATATCCTTGGGCTGCGGCGGCGGCGTGTAGGGCCCGTAGGCGCGGGCCATGCCGGCGGGGTACTGCTCGTGGGCCGGGTGCGAATACACGCTCATGGGGGCCGGCATGGCCGCGTAGCCCCCGCCGGCCGCCGCCGCCGCCGCTCGGTAGTAGCTCTGCTCCCCGCCGAGGTACGGCACCACGCCCAGGGAGTTGGGGCTGGACACGGAGTAGCGCGCCTGCATGGCCGCCCGGCAGCCGTCCCCCTCCCTCCCTCCCGCCGCGGCGAGCAGCGCGGCCCTTCCCCCTCCACCCTCCGCCGCTCCGCGGGGCCGAGCAGCGCCCGGCGGCCGTGCGGCACCCCCCGCCCCCCCCGGCGGAGCGAGGGACGGAGGCGCCGGGCTCCGCTCTCGGTCTGCTCCGCGCGAGGCGGGGGGGGGAGGTCAAAAAAGCGGGGAGGGGGCAAAAAGGGCTGCGAAAAAAGAGAAACGGGGGAGGAAAAAAAAAAATGAAAAAAGGGAAAAAAAAAAAAACAACAAAAAACCAGCAATCGCAGCGGAGAAGGCAGCTCCCAACGCAGGAGGGGGATTAAGGAAAGAAAACCTTTGCGACGCAGCTCCCGGCTCCGCGTTCCGCAGCGAGCTGTCTGCAGCGGGGACCCGGCTCGGGGATGGGTTCTGTGGGGCTTTTTGAAGCGAGCAGCAGCAAGAAAAAATCCACCGTCCGCTCCGCCGGCGGAGCTCCGCGCTTTCTCTCCTCTCTCTTTTTTTCAGTCTCTTTCTCGGTGCCGGGCTGCCTTGGGACGCATCGGAAAAACTCCTGAACTTTTGAGCATCCGTCACCGCCGCGAGAACTTTTTTACGCACTTACGGTTTTCTCCTTTTTTTTTTTTTCTTTCTTTTTTTTTTTTTTTTTTTTTTTTTTTTTTTTCCTCCCCTCTCTCTCTGCTCTCTCTCTTGCTCTCTCTCTCTCTTTTTTTTTTTCTTTTCCTCCTTTTGCAGCGGCTCGGCCCCGCCCCGCCGAGTCCGGACGGCCAATAGGGGCCGGGAAACACCCGCGGCTCTGAATGAGGAGGGAAAAAAAACGAGACCGGGCTGAAAAAAAAAAAAAAAAAGAGAGAGAGGGAGAGGGAAAAAAAAAAGGAGAGAGGGAGAAAGAGAGACGGGAAAAGAGCTCCCGCGCAGCGCCGGCAGCCGCGGCTCTCGGCTACGGCCACACACGCCGAGTCTGGGGCTTGAGCGGGGCCCCGTCGCCTGCGCGCATTTTGCGCACATTTTGTGCGCGGGGGGTGGAGGGGGGGAAGGAGAGCACCAAGGCCGCGTGAGCGCCCACCCGTGCGCCGTACGAGCGCGGACAGGTCCGTGCGTTTCACCGATGCACACACACACACGCGGAGCTCTCCGCCACGCGTGTTTCTCCCCCTCCCCTCAATTCATTGTTATCATGTTCTCTGTTCGCCCCCCGCTTTCCCTCAATTTGTTATTATTATTTTCTCTGCTCACCCACCTCCCGCTGGCCTTTCCCCCTCCCTCTTCCTCTCCCCACGCCCGTGGGCGCGGAGGGAATATTCGCACGGTGTACGGACGCGGTGCGGTGCGCGGCTCTGCTCTCCCTGGGGGGGGGGGACCCTGCACAGAGCCCGGGGTGCGGCGTTTGTGCCCCACTGCGGTGCTGCTTTCCGCTCCGTGCGTGTCAGGTGTGTGTCACGGGAACGAAAAGAAATAGGCGCGGGAAAGGGGATGCTCCTGATACCGTTTGGCCGGACCTCGTGGCTAGAATTGATTCGTATTGCTGCTGCCTTTGTTGAAATGTCTGAGAGCGTACATGGGCTGTAACGGGATGTTGGGAATAACTCTTCAACGGGAGCGCAGAGGCGGCGAGGGGTGAGGGCTCGGTTCGTTCTTTTCCAGCATCCCCCTCCCTCTCCCCGATCATTGCTCCATCGGAGCGAGGAGGATTTCATTTCGCCGTTTAAACCCGGGAGAACCGCGTCCGTGTCCTGCGGGACAAGTCCCGGCAGCCCCGCGGGGACCCGAAGCCCGTTCCGCTGCCCTCGGCCGCTGCCAGCCGGGACCCCGCTGGCGTTCGGAACCGGTCGGCCGGAGGAAGGAGCCGAAATCTGTTTTGTGGGGCGGCATATGTGGGGGGAAAGACGCTGAGAGCGAGTTGGTGCGAGGCATCGCTCACCCGAGCGTGTGACAGCGCCCGTCGGGCCGAGGACCCCGGGGTTCCCCCGGTTCCGAGCCCCTTTCACAGCCTTTTGCTGTGGGGACGCATCCTTCGCTCGGTTCGTTCCTCACACAGCACAGAGCCGTTGGTTATTCAATAGGCACACGCGTGCTTTCAGTGCAAGGAACCAAAGAAGTAATTTATACGGGCTGATATCTGCTCCTTTTCATATTCAAACGTCGCGGGTCTCCTCTTGGTAATAAATGTCAGCGCTGTAAAAGGGAATACCCGATCCTACACAGCCGTGGTGTTTCACCGTCTGCAGTCGCTCACCTGCTGCTGCCCCACTGCGCGTTTCCCCCTTTCCTTCACGACTGCAGAACGAATAAACGTGCGAGCACTGCGCTGTTTATCCATCCCAACACTTGGTATTTTCAAAAACCGTGTGTCCGTCCCAACACTCGGTATTTTCAAAAGCTCTCTCTTATTTTGCTGAAGAAAAAAAAAAAAAAAAAAAGAGAAAAGAATAGGCAGAAAGAAAGGGGGGGAGTAAAGGATCTGTCAGCGCGTCCCCATGCTCCCGGGCCGTGCGATGTTCCCACGGCGTTACCGCGGACACAGCCGTTCCCATTCACTGCGCGCTCACTGCGCGGTGGACCCTTTGCTCCTCCGGCAATGTGCGGGGCTGTGCCAACACCCGGAGGTTTCAGCTCAGGGAAGAAGGAAAGGGGGGCATTAATCCGGCGTGGTTTGCATTCAACCCGTTTTGCAATAGCCCCTCTGATTCTATAATTGTGAACTGACGCAATTGCCGGCTGCGTGCTAAGCTACATACCTCGCAGCAGCGCGACTCTGGTTTCTGCATGCGGGGCACAAAAGTCACCATTGTGAGGAGCGAGAGTGGCATGTTCGTACGGTGATATTTGGTGCGAGGGCGGCAGGAAGGGCGCCTTTCCCATCGCTTTCTCGGGATACCACCCAGAAAGAGGTCTCGGCGCTGGGCTTTTGCCTCCCCGAAGGGCTCCAGAAAGCGCACCCAACGCGGCCTCCGGCTGCCGGCATCGCTCGGTGCCCCACACGGAGCGGGGCTGGAGCCGGAGGGGCCGGGGCCGGGCTCGGGGACCCCGCCGGGCAGCGTCGGGCCGGGGGAGCCGCGCCGCGGGGCTCGGCGCGTGTGTGGCCGCTGGCGGCCGTATTTACGGAGATGTCAGTAAGAAGGATGGCAGCGGAGCGCTGGGCGGAGGGGCCGCCGTCTGACCTGGGCAAAGCCAGGTGGGCCCCCCCGACTCGCTCTGGGAGACCCGGGGGTGACCCTCCCGCCGGCCCCGGGCTGTTTGTGTTTAGACGGAGTCAGAGCTGCATTTCTCTCTTTCTTTTGGCTCCCACATCACAGCGGCAGCCCTGCAACTCTGCAAGCCCAGCCACCCAACCCGGCTCTTCGCATCTCAGGATGCGGCTTTCCGCGTTCCGCAAACGGAGGGCAGGGAGAGCAGCTCTCATCTTTTCGGGGAGGGGGGAGCAGGAGAGAGGCCATCCCCCCGAAATCTGTGCTCAGCTCTATGCCAGACCCACCCACTCCGGTTTGGCAGCACTGTACCTTCTGCCCTTGCAGTGCTGCGCGGCCCGAGCTCAGGGGCTGTGTGCGCGTTTTGTACTTTATTTGTGCTTGCGTTTGTGTTCGTATTTTCGTTTCTGTTACCGTAGGCTGACGACTTCACAGCTGAGTCGGAGCACTATTCCAGTCCCGGGTGGCTTTTGTCTTTAAGACATAAACAACACAACTTAATACAACTTAATAAAAATGAACTCTCCATCCCTCCGGCATCCTTTAGGCTCTCATTCTTGAATGGGAAATGAATTGCCCTTCACCGTAAGTGCGGCAGCGCTCATCGGCTTCGTGTATTTCACGAACGCAAACGCCTTCGTTTCACCTTTGGTGTCTAAAGGCGAATTTTGCATTTAATTCCCAGAGCAGAGCCGGGGCCATGGACCGGTCGGAATCCTCGAGGTTCCTCGTCCCGTCCGTGTGACACACAGGTGTCGCGGCACCAGGAGCGCAAGCAAAACCGCGCTGAGAGGAACTGCTCGCGTTCTTTCTGCACTCGGGGCAGAGCGGTGTCACACAGAAAACACTAAGACCAAACCGACCCGCAGCCGCATAAATCCCTTTAATCTAGTGCGTCCCCAACAGCTCCGGCATCTCACGGAAAAAACAACGTTTGAGGACTGAGGGGGATGTGGGGGTTAAAAACTCTCTCCTAAAACGACAAAGGAGACAGCCAGACTCGGATTTGATTTAATTTTTTTCTTTCTTTTTCTTTCCAAGGTCCCTTGTCCCTTTTGCTTTCCTTTTCCTCCCTTGTTTCCTTCCTTTCTCCGGGAGGGGCGGCGAGGCTGGAGCGGTGCTGAGCCCACCGGCTTCTCTGGAACCGCACAAATGGAACCTCGCGGGGCGGCGGAGCGGGGAGCGAGAGGGAAACTCCTGCTCCATCCCCATCTACTGCCATGTATGCGGGAGGAGAGAGACCGATTTGTAGAAAGGATTTATTTACTCTAGAACGAGGCGGCAGCTCCTCTCTGGGCAGCGATAAGCGCTTGGCGATTCATCACGCACCCGATAGGGATCAGCCCCCGCGCTCATCATTCCCTTCTCTCGAGTATTCCGAGGGCTGAGCACAGGAATGAGTTTGCGGGAGGGCTGCGCTGCCCCGCGGCAGGCAGATGGGGGGCAATGGCTTCTCCGCGCCCGCGCAGCTCCCGCGCCGCGCCCTCCGGCCACCTGCGCGACACCGGGCGCTACGCGAGACGCGGGCGCCCCCTACCGACCGCTCCGCGCCGCTCCGCGCACCTGCCGGGCCCCCGGGAGCCCCGCGCAGTGCCGGGTCTGTGCGGTGCGCGGCGACGCGGTGCCAGCTCTGCCGGGGCCGCTATTTCTCCGGTCGTGCCAAGGAATGTCTTTATGGGTTGCCAGGCTTGCCCGTAAAACCTGCGAATGAAACAGTGCCGGTTTCCAGGAAAAGCGCTCCTGTTTTTTTTTTTTTTTTTTTTTTTTTAATTTTTTTAAGCTGCCCTTTTC